GTTTTGGCGTTGAGCCTTCGGTAATCACCGGTTGGACGCCAGTCGTTGCTATCCTTTTTGGGAACCATGTGCAATGGCGATGCCCAAGGACTGTTCGACGGTCTGATAATGCCCAGGTCGAGCATGTGGTCGAATTCATTTTTCGCCGTTTGGAGCTTATCGGGGGCTAGACGGCGCGCTTTGGATGCCACAGGTGGACCTGTGGTTGTGACGTGATGCATAACATTGCTGGTTATGCACGGAAGAGTGTGCTTCGGTTGCTGTAACTCTGGATATTTCTCCAGAACTGCCTGGTAGGACGCGTCGTCTGATTGTTTAGTCCTAACGATGGCTAAACTCGGACCTACATAGGTGGTGCCGCCAATAGATAACTTTGTGCTGTTATCTATCAGTCGTCGACGGCGAGCATCTACGAGTAGATCGTAATGGTTTAGCAAATCTATGCCAATGATGGGCATAGAGACGTCTGCCAGGAGGAAAATCCAGTGGATAGGTTTGCGTAAACCTAAGTTGAGGTAGGCATACCGTCTCCCGAATGTCGCGATTGCCTTGCCGTTGGCTGCTTGAAGATTGAAGGATGGGTCAAGATGACGCTCCTTTGTCGTTGCTGGAAGAATGCTAACTTCTGCGCCGGTGTCGACGAGGTAGCGGACTTTCGTTTTAATATCCGTGACGTAGAGCAAACGGCTTTTTCCGCCGGCTACGGTTGCCGTGAGCACGTGCCGGCGTGACCGTTTCCCGAGTTCGTGTCCTTCTTAAAACGGCATGGTTTACGACATTTTCTGGCTTCATCCCCGTAAGTGTTATGAAACCAGCACCATTCAGGGTTTTCCACCCTGTTGGGTTTCGTTTTAGGGCTACCACACGACTTGCTGCGATGCGCCAAGGTGCGTTTCTGTGAAGTGCTACGTGATCTAGGACTTCGAGATCGTAGCAACCGTCTCACAGAGTTGCACAACTTGGTCACCTCTGAATCCTGGCGCTCTGTTTTGTCGCAGATAGAATATACGTTGGAGACGGGTCTGCTGGATATCTCCAGTATTTTATCTGCTGAGGCTGCCAGGTCGTCGAGTGGGACTGACTGGAGTGTCACCAACACGGTTTGCACCGGTTGTGGTAGTTTCGAGAGAAATAGTTCTCGGAAGAAACCATCGTCAAATGTTCGTGCACCGATTACTTCTCGCATGCGTGCGAGGACTTCAGTAGCTGAGTGGCTGCCTAGCTCGATGTTACGAAGCAATTCGTCTAGACGTTGGCGATCTGTGAGATCGCTTTTCTTCAAGAGTGCGGCCTTTAGAAGTGCATAAGGGTCACTTACTTCAGGATTAAACATGTTTGCTGTAACATACCTGTTTAATTCTCGCGGTAGTGAACGTATGACAGCAAGAAATCGAGATTGAGGATCTGAGACACCCTGTTCTCGAAAATCGGCCTCGGCATACAGAAACCATGTTTCTGCATTGTCTGGCCAATATGGCACGAGTTGGATCGTGTTCGAAGTCGGCTTAATACGAATAAGCTTGGGAGTGTGGTCGGACATGAGAAAGTGTAGTAAATGGATATATAAATGTTATCGAAATGAAAACAATAAACAAATATAAAATGGAACAGGCTCACCAATTCAATACCTGTTGTTGGTCGGGATATGTGATCACGTCGGGATGTTTGATCACGTCGGGATATTTGACCACGTCGGGCTCACCAATTTAGGATTTGTCCTGGTGCGAACTTGACAGACGCAAAGACCAATCACTAATTATTCGAACTTGTTATATACCCACGAATACGAGACCAAGGAAGAACACGATAGCGTAGTCGGATGGAATAGTATATTTGGATGGTTATGCCAAAATACCGATGCGTTCCAACTAACTGGCTAGAGAGTCGAATACGAGCAATGCAACGTAACACGACAGCGTGCCAAATGGCGAGGATGCTTGACCGGGTGCCTTCAGCTTAGCGAGTCCAGTTAAACTATCAAGGTCAGCATCAATGTCGAAAGTCGTCAAACCCTAGGCTATTGATTTTGGGGAAGTGTATGACGCTACAGATCACTCCCCCCCAGTGGGTTCGTGAGGACCCTAAGACGATACCAGCCGGAAGTAAAAACCCAGTGGTTTCTCCACTGGTAAAACTCTTCCGATGGGCTCACTGCGTGAGGTGGCCCCTGGTTGTCTGAACCTTATTCTAGGGTGTCGTGGCGATTAAATAAATAAAATACAATAAATGGAATTGTACGTCGGTCGCGGTCATCTGTTCCTTTCGACGTTCCGTCCAGTGCTCGTTGCACCTGGAATATAAATAAAAGTCTTTAATACCACGAAAACGTTTCGTAAAAATGGGAATTATTTATATATAAACATATCGAAAAATAAAAATTTACGCTTATCTTCCCGTTTTTTTTTTTTTATTACATGGTAATAAAAATTGATATAAAAAGGCAAAGTATACGAGGGTTTGTATTGATGTATCGGGTAGGAGTCCGGAGTTGTTTTGGCGTTGAGCCTTCGGTAATCACCGGTTGGACGCCAGTCGTTGCTATCCTTTTTGGGAACCATGTGCAATGGCGATGCCCAAGGACTGTTCGACGGTCTGATAATGCCCAGGTCGAGCATGTGGTCGAATTCATTTTTCGCCGTTTGGAGCTTATCGGGGGCTAGACGGCGCGCTTTGGATGCCACAGGTGGACCTGTGGTTGTGACGTGATGCATAACATTGCTGGTTATGCACGGAAGAGTGTGCTTCGGTTGCTGTAACTCTGGATATTTCTCCAGAACTGCCTGGTAGGACGCGTCGCCTGATTGTTTAGTCCTAACGATGGCTAAACTCGGACCTACATAGGTGGTGCCGCCAATAGATAACTTTGTGCTGTTATCTATCAGTCGTCGACGGCGAGCATCTACGAGTAGATCGTAATGGTTTAGCAAATCTATGCCAATGATGGGCATAGAGACGTCTGCCAGGAGGAAAATCCAGTGGATAGGTTTGCGTAAACCTAAGTTGAGGTAGGCATACCGTCTCCCGAATGTCGCGATTGCCTTGCCGTTGGCTGCTTGAAGATTGAAGGATGGGTCAAGATGACGCTCCTTTGTCGTTGCTGGAAGAACGCTAACTTCTGCGCCGGTGTCGACGAGGTAGCGGACTTTCGTTTTAATATCCGTGACGTAGAGCAAACGGCTTTTTCCGCCGGCTACGGTTGCCGTGAGCACGTGCCGGCGTGACCGTTTCCCGAGTTTGTGTCCTTCTTAAAACGGCATGGTTTACGACATTTTCTGGCTTCATCCCCGTAAGTGTTATGAAACCAGCACCATTCAGGGTTTTCCACCCTGTTGGGTTTCGTTTTAGGGCTACCACACGACTTGCTGCGATGCGCCAAGGTGCGTTTCTGTGAAGTGCTACGTGATCTAGGACTTCGAGATCGTAGCAACCGTTTCACAGAGTTGCACAACTTGGTCACCTCTGAATCCTGGCGCTCTGTTTTGTCGCAGATAGAATATACGTTGGAGACGGGTCTGCTGGATATCTCCAGTATTTTATCTGCTGAGGCTGCCAGGTCGTCGAGTGGGACTGACTGGAGTGTCACCAACACGGTTTGCACCGGTTGTGGTAGTTTCGAGAGAAATAGTTCTCGGAAGAAACCATCGTCAAATGTTCGTGCACCGATTACTTCTCGCATGCGTGCGAGGACTTCAGTAGCTGAGTGGCTGCCTAGCTCGATGTTACGAAGCAATTCGTCTAGACGTTGGCGATCTGTGAGATCGCTTTTCTTCAAGAGTGCGGCCTTTAGAAGTGCATAAGGGTCACTTACTTCAGGATTAAACATGTTTGCTGTAACAAACCTGTTTAATTCTCGCGGTAGTGAACGTATGACAGCAAGAAATCGAGATTGAGGATCTGAGACACCCTGTTCTCGAAAATCGGCCTCGGCATACAGAAACCATGTTTCTGCATTGTCTGGCCAATATGGCACGAGTTGGATCGTGTTCGAAGTCGGCTTAATACGAATAAGCTTGGGAGTGTGGTCGGACATGAGAAAGTGTAGTAAATGGATATATAAATGTTATCGAAATGAAAACAATAAACAAATATAAAATGGAACAGGCTCACCAATTCAATACTTGTTGTTGGTCGGGATATGTGATCACGTCGGGATTTTGATCACGTCGGGATATTTGACCACGTCGGGCTCACCAATTTAGGATTTGTCCTGGTGCGAACTTGACAGACGCAAAGACCAATCGCTAATTATTCGAACTTGTTATATACCCACGAATACGAGACCAAGGAAGAACACGATAGCGTAGTCGGATGGAATAGTATATTTGGATGGTTATGCCAAAATACCGATGCGTTCCAACTAACTGGCTAGAGAGTCGAATACGAGCAATGCAACGTAACACGACAGCGTGCCAAATGGCGAGGATGCTTGACCGGGTGCCTTCAGCTTAGCGAGTCCAGTTAAACTATCAAGGTCAGCATCAATGTCGAAGTCGTCAAACCCTAGGCTATTGATTTTGGGGAAGTGTATGACGCTACACGCTCTTCCTGAAGATGTTTCCCAGGCTACTTTATTTGCATCTTCCAAACACAGACTGCTTACCCACTCGACATGTCTCGGATCTGCACTAATCGAATCTTCACGTTTTAATCATCATTTTTTCCTCCTACTTTACTTTTACAAAGAATAACAACCACAATTAGTGATCCACGGATTGTAGATGCGAAAGCCAGCTGAGCGAAAGCTTCTTCTATTCTGTCAACAACCATTTGTACCTAAATCCCGTCATGCTAGCCAGAGATACAGTGGGCGAATATGTAGACCCACTGCATCAGAATTTTCCTAAACACTTGGAACTGTTCCTTTAGACCTAGAAGCAACTGAAAAGAAATCAACTGGCGTACACTAGCTCGTAAAAAGATTGGATATTGGATTGTACATACTGCTGTTTGCGCGTATATAGAAGAATGTTCGTTACATTTGGCGTTTACATAATTTTGACATGAAAGTAAGGTATTTTCATGAATCACATATGAGTGTATCAGGTGCGTGTTATTTATGACTTTTCAGCTCAAGGAACCGGTGAGCTCAGTGTTAGTCATGGTGAGGAACTTACCATCACCAACCAAAATGTTGGTGCTGGCTGGTGGCAAGCTGTTAATGCATTTGGGAAAGAAGGACTTGTGCCTTCAGAATTTGTGGAAATTATTGAACTGCCTGAGCCTGCAGCCCCACCCCCTCCACCACCAACAGTGGAGTATGGTAGAGAAGTCGATCGGTTCGATGAATGGGATGATGAATGGGATAGTGACGAAACTGATCCTTCCTTGCCAGTAGGTCATGTAGTTAATGTTTTTTCATGCTTTTGTAAATCGATACAACTATTTGTTGGTTGTCTTACCATAACGGTCAGCCTAAACTGGTAATTTCGACGACTGGACATCTGTTGTTTCTGGTTTGTATTTGATTACTAGGTATACTTTTTACTTGGCGTATCCCGTTGGTAAGCATATATGTGTTTTAATACCGTCGCGTTTAAATATCTGCAGTAGCCGAATCCAGAAAAGCAATCATGAATGACTTAGGTTTGTAGTTTTAGCATATATTGATATGAGTATATATTAATTCCTTTTCTAGTGGATCTCTGTCGTTGTGCAGTCCGCTTTTGAACGTGTTAACCTATGATGTGGACACCACTTCTGGTAGTTGGTTCTAAGAATTGATTACTCGAAAAGAGAACCAGTACTTGTGAAGACTACTTCTGTCCTTGTCTTTTGTATTGTCCTGCTTTGTCGTCCGAGTTATTCCAACCTATTGGGAAGGAAAAGAGAAAGTAGATAATGTCAAGGGTCATTTCCTAAAATCTTGTTTAGCATAACCAAGTTTCCCCTCTGGGATAGGATAAAGGGAGGTTCAGCTCCCTAAGTCGTTCTTTCTGAGTCAGGATAACCATCGCAGGGATCCTACAAGTAGCTGTCTTCGGAACTCTTTCCAGGAGATCTGAATCGCCTCTCAGACAAGAAATTGCACAAATAATAATTTCAGCCCTAACTAAGGATGTCTTTAAAGTTATGAACAGATCATTTGTTTTTGTAGATGTTCTACGTAATGCCTAAGTGTCCCAAAAGGTCAAGCTACGAACGATTGACAGTGCGCCGTGGTCTTCAAGTCATAACTTCCTGTGACCTTAGGGTCATTGCGGGTTATAACTGAGGGTAGAGTAGTCCCACCAATGTCGTAGATATTGCCATCTGTATACTCAGTGTATGTGTCCACACACTTGCGTTGATAAGCATCAGGCATTTCTCTGACCAGGTTAGCAAACTTTAGGTTTGTTTAAAGTGTATGCACATCCTAGTCATCCGTCGTTTCTCGTTGGGATTTTACATCAGCATCAAGAACCACAGAGGATTTCGAGGAATTCGGCAGTTCCTTTATGTACAGTAGAAATAAAAGACTACCTTGCTGCACTTCAATTTTCGCCGGCTTTCAAGAGGAGAGTTAAACATTGAATCTTACTTTCTGATCCATGCAAGTAGATTGCCAATGACTCCCACTTTCCAGTTCATGAGCGACCTACCCTTTTAAACGCCTTGCTGAAGTCTATGAAAATGATATCTACGGGTGTCCTTCCATCTTTATAATTAACCCAACTTTTTCTGACCATGAGAAAGTTGGTGAAACAAGAAAAGCCTCTGCGAAAGCCATATTCTTCACAAGTGTCGCTTTCTGTTTGAACCGTAATGGCTTTCGTGATTGTTATCCCCAGAATTTTCACTATATTAGCCAAGCATATCGGTCTATAATTTGATGTGTGCGGCTTAGAACGTGGCTTGTGGATAGGTGTGACTAGGGCGTCCTTCCAGTATTGGGCAAGTGCCTTCATGAGGGATAGTCAAATATAGTGGTCACTGGGCCAGCTACGTAGCGTGCAAGCTCTTTGAGCAGCCTTAGGTGCATGTCATCCGGTCCGCTGATTTTCCTATATTCAGAGTTTTTAGTGTCCTAAATATATCATTACAATCGATGTCCACAGAGTTTATTCTGGTGGACGTCGATGCTTCTACTGTTGAATTCGTATCCGTCGAGGGTTTCTGGGTAAAAACCACCGCCAAATATCCGGCCATAGTCTCTGTTTTGTCCTTATCGTGTTGAATTAAATAGTTAATCCCTGCCTCTTCTATTAGGGCGGGAATATTACGATGCGTTTTATTCCCGTAGTGTATGATAAAAAAAACCGGATGTTGCAGTGAGGTCTGGGCGAGACGTATTTCTTAGCGTATTGGAGAGCAGCAGATGTAAGTGGTACATTTATATCGGGCTTCTTTTTAATTCTCCACCTCAGGAGTGCCAAGATGGAAGACAAGACTCAAGCACTTTTTCTTGCATTGTAGCAAACTTTGAATTTATGGTTTATTCACGAAAGACATTGTTTCGTCCCTCCAGATGAGTCCATGGAATTGAAAGTTGAGTCACTCATGCATATGTCTTTGAAGAAGTACTATGCAAGCTCAACTATGGCTCCTAGTTTACTATCCAGTCCTCCTTCCTTCCACACAGCGGGTTTAACGGAGGCGTCAACCTCTCATAAGACAGCTGCTGTAAGTCTGAAAATGATCACACTGTGATCACTTACAAAGAAGTGGAAGGTATCGTATGAAGATAAAATCCTCTTTGTGAGAGAATACTAAACCTAGGACTGATAAAGCATGTTGATGATCGTAATGAGTTGTTGCCCATTGTACCCTAAAAAAGCCAAGGAAACCTACGATGGAAAAAAAGTACGTGATGCTCCTGTTGTTAGACTGTCCCAGCCAACTGATGGCTTGTTGAAGTCTCCTACAACTGAACATCTCCAGTCATCTGTCCGCACAGTCAGGTTATTCCGGAGCAAGTCTCCCGCCCTACATTCGGAGCTTCGATACACTACAACTAGGTTAACATCTTGTTCCTTGCATTTTATTCGGCAGCACAACATTTCACATTCCACTTTCGTTCGTTTCTATGGGTCTCACAGTTAAGGTACTCTTCACGTAAAAAGTGGCACCTCCACCCTGCGTGCTAACTTATCGCTTCCAAAAAGAACGAATTCTCGTAAATATGTTTCACTGCCAAGTTTCTGAGATAGTAATGAAGCTGACCTGGTCTTACAGTCAGTGATTTTCAGACTGCATCTGCTAACTCTGGGGATGCGAAAACCTGGAGATACTCGCTTCACCCTGCTTTGTGTGGCCTTTCCTAAATCGCCGTCAATAAACTTTTTAGGAATTTAATGCTCCTGACTTTCAATCTACTGTGCGACATTTTTGGCATTCTGCACGACGACGTGCATGTCAACGGATGTTGTATCATCACCTGTATCTTAATTATGAAATTTCCTTTTGTGATGGTTTTTAGAAGTGCTTTCACTCCCTCCATCAACCTTCAAACATCTGAGCAACACGATAATCAAAGCCAGACTGCCTGCATTATTATACTTTTTGCATGCTGCAGGCGTAAGTCTTATGCAGTTATCGTGATATCAACTTTTACATTCGACACACTGCATATCGGAGGCCACTGTCAAACAGTACGCTGGCCTATCACAACCATTTTTGCGATGCTTGAGGTTGACCATCTTGCAGAAGCTTTGAGAAAAAGCTGATTTAAAAAAACCAGACAATACGTGAGTGGGATAACGAAAACTATAAGAAACCTTTTCAAAATGTATCAGGAAATTGTTTACGCTGGAAAAAACCGGTGATCTTAACTAGTAAACAATTAACAAAAAATATCCAACCAAAAACGTTTCCTTCTTCCTGTAAACCAACATTATTTCAACTAGAGCAACAAATAGTAGGCTTCTATGTGTAAACAAAAAGTGGCAAATATTTAACTGAACGTGATGTCACTCTCTTTTCAAAGTGTTCACAGTTTTAGGTATAGAGTTATTTATCATTTTACTACAATGATTTACAACCCTTTTTCACCACAGTATTGTAATTCTGCATATAAATTATTCTTTTAGTCAATGTGGGACCTGACATTACGGCTTAACGGTCCAATTTGTCATTTCTCATCATTAAGCCACTATAAAGGCTAACAAGGTGAGAAATAGAGGAATCGGGAACGAAAATGTCATCCGTAATGTTGTGGTCCCATGGCATATAACCAGTGCTATGAAGGTGGGAGTAAATATAGCCTTTCATACCCGTATGAAGACTTCTTCAGTAATATCATACATACCCTGAGATACTTTTCAAATTGATCTAATTTCCCCATTTTAGAAAATTGGAATTGTCATGTAGTATATCGAGATGCTTTGCTTTATAGCAAAATTGAAAGCTGCTGGTAAAACTAATCGTTTGCATCATTCGAACTGTAGTATACTGTTCCGTAGACAATGCAAGTAAACATCCATGACTTGTGATTCTTCCTATTCTAACGGATTCACTCGGAAGAACAATACATGGACAACTGTTGACTGCTATCCTAGGCGACGATTGCTCTGTTTTATGATTTCCTATTTTTACACTAGTGAATCCATAGGTAATACCCATCGAATCTCTTGATAATAGTAAGATTAGTTCTACAGATTCAACGCAGTTGGATGAACTTGAGTAAATATTCACGGTTGTCTTGTTCACGTGTCTTTTAGTAACATGACAACATGCATCCTCGTGACGGGATCCTAAATTCATAGTAACTGAAATACATTCGGTTTGACACAGAATTCGAACTATGTATGCTTAGATGTGAAATCCTCAGTATGATTTTAAGAGAATTGAAACAGTCTTTTGCTAGATTGAATATCTTGCAATGCTCCAAAGGTAACAAGTTTGGAAAACTAGCGGGTATAATCTTCGTAGTAGAAACAGTTGGTAAAGGTAAAGAAACGGAAGATGGTAAGATAAATCAGCAATTTCAACACCTAGGAAAGCTATTTTGATGAATTACTAGTCTTTTCTGAATAAACAGAATATTTTTTTCAGCCACACCGTTTCCTATTGCTAGCTTCTAATTTAGGTCTGTAATAGTGGAAATCAATCATACACTGGTAATAAAGTCCTTTGTACAATCACATTATTGAAGGCTGATTGTGATGAAATCTATTTAAATGCACATTGAGCAGCAAATCAGTAATAGGTGTGTGCCTGTTGAAAATGTTAGATCCCTAAAAATGAGTGTTTCATACCTTGAATTCATAAATTCGCCTGATATCAATTTGAATTCATCTTTTTTGTCACCCTTTTTTTGTGTTTTTGCTGGATTCACAAACATTGATAAGCGCAGATGGCAGACAACCATCATCATCCATTGTGAAACATATCATTGATAAGAGTTACAGAATTGATATCAAAACAGCCTTTACAATTTTATACAGAAATTGTCAGGGGCGTATACTTAAGTTTATTGAGGCGCTAGCCATAAATAAATTTAACCCCCACCCCCCCATTGTGTGTGCAAAAACAGTTTATCCTTACATTAAGCCTACCTTGGTAATGCTTATTTTATCGTATTACCAAGATTGTCTTCAAGTCTTATCTTTTTTCTCCTCTCATTATCTTTCTTATTATTGAATTCCTTTATGTCATATGTATCCTTCTCCCACTTCCAGTTTTCATATATAATGCCTTAACAAGTAAATGTGTGATCAGATTGTTCGAAATGTATAGCGCTAACACATCACATATTGTTCAGATAATCTACGTCTTCTGATTACATTATCCAAATTCATAGTAGGGACTAATTGAAGAAGGCTTTTAAAGATGTTATTTTCCTATGGGTTATCCATTCACTATTAGTTTACTAATTTGTCTCAAGGACGTTCTTTATTGTATATAAATGCAAGTGTTGCAACCTTAGATTGAAACTGTTTGGTTGAAATAAATTCTCCTCAGTTCAATATTGTTTTCTTTTTGTGTTTAACTGAGCTAGTTGTCTAGTATCATGTCATTTACTCGGTACATGTCCTTAGTTAGGTGTACTGGAAGTTGATTTTAGACAAGACTGGGTTGTCGCCTCAACAGAACTTCAGAAGACGACTCTTATGTTCAGACATCAACAGAAATATTTCCTTTAAATGCCCAAATGACTATGTACATTGTCAACTACTACGTAAAACAAGCAAGGTGTTTATTTCTAGATGGGAGTGGGAAATGTGAACGTTGTAAGCATAACATGGATATCATAGTATCTATCGCTAGTGAGATGAATAACTCATAAATTATCTTTGAGTAGGTAACCAATGTAACTGTCTAAACCGTAGTTCTTAGCACTGACCACAGGTTGTTGATCAAGTCTACGCTGTGACCACCAGATAGAATGATGCGACATTGCTATGCAGTGTTAGGATTTGAGAGTCAATCGGTAGAAATCCCTTGATCCAGGTTTCATGTTAATTGAAGCATGACTAGGTTAATAGGTAGAGGCACCAGGAAGTGACACCAATTCACGACGTTTCTGATTGTTGATCTATGCCTTTAAGGCTGTTTGGTTCGGTGTGTTTGAGAATTCAAAAGTCTACGGTTAAAGACTCTTAGTTGTATGTAGACGCCACATGCCAAGTAATTCACAATGTGAAGCTCAGTGATGCTTTTGAAGTGTAGACAGGAATGAAACAAGGCTGCCTACTGTCACCCATGATATTCCTGATTGTGATCGACTGGATCATGCAGCAAACTGTGAGGAGCGAGAAGAGGGGGATACGCTGAACCGCAGAAAATGACCTAGAAGACTTGGATTTCACCGATGACTTGTGTCTCATGTCGCACAACCTGGAAGATCTACAGCGAAAACTAACAAGTTGGCAGAGGAGGCAGCGAAGACAGGACTTCCTTCAGGTGAACGTAGAGAAGACAGAGGCGATGAAGATACCAAACCAACAACAACAACAAACTCCAATCACCATCAACGGGAGAAACCTAAAGGAAGTAGCCTCTTTCACCTATCTAGGCAGCACAGTCTCAACTACAGGCGGTAGTGGCACAGGCGAGGATGTCAAAGTCGGAATCGGAAAAGCAAGACATGCGTTCATTAGCCCGAAACCAGTGTGAAGATCATCTTCACTCAGCATGTGGAACACGATCCAGATTTTCAACACCAATCCAGTCAAGTCAGTGCTTCCATGTGATGGTTCACAGACTTGGCGCGTCACGAAAGACATTTCCAATAAACTGCATACATTCATCAACAGCTACCTACGCTAGCTCCATACTGAAGCTCAGATGGCCAGAATAATAAGAATGAGCAACAAGGATCTCTGGCTGACTGGCAACGAACCAACGAAGCAAGAACCTATCGCTGAACAAATATGCAGTGGAAGAAAGAGGAGATGGATTGGGCATACACTGAGTTATACGGTTCATAGTCGGTTACAGTGACGTCAAATTTTTCTGCAAGAGTTCAGATTATCTCTCTTAGAGACCTATCTGTTGCTGTGGAACCCTTAATTCTTGTAACCCTCCTTCTACATACATTTCTGTAAGTTCATGAACAAAAATTAAGCCTAAAGTCGAGGTTATTTCTGTGTTTACTGTTGTTTCTACCCTTTTCTCTTAATATTTCCTTTTATGCTTAGTTAAATAATTTTTTTTAATGTTCTTTTTTTGTGTTTAGAATAAAAGTTTTAATGATAGAAATCATCAGTCAGTTGACTGTAGTTCACTTCAAGTTAGTCGCAAACCTCTAGACTCGTCGACAACAGCATATAATTACTCTGAATATGTACGCAATACACCAATTCGCAAGTATTTTAATAGGTTAGTTGTTTTTATTTTGTCTATGTCATCACATTTCATGTCAGCGTTTATTTATCGCTTAGTTTGTATTTATTCTTACAACGCCACCCGTTTTTCTCTTAATTTCTTTAAGATTCTTCGTCTTTATAATTGTTCATATTTAGAAGATCTCAGCTTATAATTTTATGCCTTCTCGTTTTTGTGTGAAGCAAAATATACTGGGATATTTGAGACTAGACTTTGACAGAAGCATTTAGCTTACAGTCTACAATTCATCGGTATTGGTTTTAACAGTTTTGAAAGTATCTTCAGCAATTTCATATGCTTACCTGATGTATGTAGTAACTTAAACTGCAAGTGGAATAGTCTAACCAATGAAGTGAATGTCTTAATATGGTTTAGTCAGAAAATGTAAACTAATCAACACACTTTCTGATTAATAATGCGGAGAAATTTAAAGTTTTTGAGTAAAATTCATGAAATATCGAAAGTCAGTAGTGGAAAATCTGTTCTTTCGGTTAATCCTAACAGCGAAAACACCATGTTATCATTTGAATTGGTAGAGTAACCACATTGTAAAGTACTCTGGAAAAGATATGTACAATACTTGTCACTCATTAATTGTTTTGTTTTTCTTCACATGAAAACTCTCTATGATTCAGCATAATTTTTCTGAACCTATCTATCAAATATAAGTGAGCTAGTGAAATTCGTAAACAGTCTGGAAAATCCTTATGAAACACCGGTAAAGTTGGGCATATCGTAATCTGTCAAAAATGTTTCCTATCAGTAGTTATATCAGATAGGATTACATTATTTCTTCTTTTTTCATTTGCGAACGGTGACGAAAATCCCGAAAGAATCCTTGTTGACATCGAAAGGTTATCCAGAAAACAGGTGGAAAGTATACAGAGTTGTGTGAGAGAACAACTTGAAGATATACGTTAGTGTCAATATTCAAGCTTTCGGAGAAATCAAGGAGTGAATATATCTGCACCATTGTTATCGATTTTCAGTCATGTCACCAAGAGTACTTAACTACTGATTCCTATCGTCTCACAGACCCAATCCAGGTAGTCTGCTTCACTTTACACGATTCACACCAACAGTCAGAGACTTCATCAACTAGTGCCATGTCTTCGTCTGACCACCCTGAACCATCTTCAAACCTAACTCAGCTTCCTCGAGTATGGCACATTGAAGGTAGGCAATGGCTCCGTATCACCACCTTAAGTCAAGTAATTCTTATTTATGAATAGGAATGTACGTATGCATTCAACATTGCTGATGATCACCAAAAGTGGTTGAAAAATCTTTGATCCGCAATATGAATATTGGTGGGTGTGTGATAGGCAAAAGCAACTGATGTATAGTAAAACTGAAACAAGGAACTCTGGGAACGAACCAACGAAGCAAGAACCTATTGCTCAACAAGTATACAGAAGGAAGTGAAGATGGATTGGGCATACAATGAGAAGGCCGACTGGGGGACATCACGCGCCAAGCCAGTTGCTCGAGTGGAACCCCGATGGGAAGCAACGAGTTGGGCGTTCAAGGTGTGGGTGACATGGAGGATATCATGAGAGGAGGAAATAAGAACTTGTAAGCTGTCGTGGGGTCGGGTTCAAAAGTTTGTAGAAAACTAGATAGTGGAATGGCGACGTGCTACCGAAGCCCTATGTTCCATTAGGAACCCAAGGGACAAATAATAATAAAAACTGAAAAGGTTTACGTCTGTCCAAATTAACTTCAGCACTATCACACTATTTTTATGTGTTCAAAGGGGATCCGTTGAGTAATGTTACGTTTAAAGCCTTAGTTTACAACCATGAAAAAAGATGATTCTACTCTGACATTTTGGTGACTTACTGTGTTATAGGGTTACTGTTGATGGAACATTATCACTTTATGGCTTGTTTATATATACTGTAGGATGTTATTCAGATAATGAAGCAATCTTGCAGTATTGCTTTTAACATGGTTTTTGCATAATATTCGAATGACTTTTGCACTGGTTATTGTGTTCTGTATTATGATAGGCCGAAAAAAATAACAAGTACTGCTGAATTTGTTGGAAAATATCATGATTTCATGAGAAGTTTATAAATTTTAGAATATGATTATACTAAAATCCCACCGTTTCAAATAATCAAACTTTGAGGGGAATTGGATGCATTTGTGACAATTTGTTCGCATAACACTTTGCCAATCACAGTCACCGGGAAATATCGAAAGGAAAGTTGTCTCTTCCACCTACCTACCTACCTACCTACCTACCTACCTACCTACCTACCTACCTACCTACCTACCTACCTACCTACCTACCTACCTACCTACCTACCTACCTACCTACCTACCTACCTACCTACCTACCTACCTACCTACCTACCTACCTACCTACCTACCTACCTACCTACCTACCTACCTACCTACCTACCTACCTACCTACCTACCTACCTACCTACCTACCTACCTACCTACCTACCTACCTACCTACCTACCTACCTACCTACCTACCTACCTACCTACCTACCTACCTACCTACCTACCTACCTACCTACCTACCTACCTACCTACCTACCTACCTACCTACCTACCTACCTACCTACCTACCTACCTACCTACCTACCTACCTACCTACCTACCTACCTACCTAGACAGCATCGTTTCAACTACAGGTTGCACAGGTACAGATGAAAACGTCAAAAGCAGGATCGGAAAGACACCAAGACAGGCGTTCCTTCATCAACCTGTAGTCATTGTGGAGATCTACTGCACTACAATCCATTCAGCATAACGGGTGAACAAGATCCGGATTTCCAACACTAATGTCAGTGCTTCTATGTGATGGTTGAGAGACTTAGCGCGTTACAAAAAGCATTTCCAACAAATTGCAGACATACATCATCAACAGCTGCCGCCTACACTCATTCGATACTGAAGATGAGATGTATGGCCAGAATAATAAGAATAAGCCATAGGGAACTCCGGCCTGGCGACGAACCAATCAAGAACCCATCGTCCAACAGATATGCAGAAGAAGAAAGTGAAGATAGGTTGAATTGAACATACACTATGAAGACGGTTTGAGGACATTATGCGCCAGGCCAGGTCCTCAAGTGGAACGGAAATGTGAAACGACTAGTTGGGCGTCCTAGCTGAGAGTGATATAGAGTAGATGTTGTGAAGAAGAAATGAAAGGTTAAAAAAGAGTGCAGAGATGAGAGTGAAATTGGCGATATAGCTACTGAAGCTTTATGTTCAATTAGAAACCTTAGGGAAAAATAATATGAGAAAGTTTACACCTAATATTTGTGTAAATGTTCATAGATGGAGTATTTATGCACCACTTTTTATATCAAAACTTCGATAACTATTAATCATTATTGTTTTTAAGATCTTGTCAAAGTTATTTATATCTTTCAATGTAGCCCAAGTTATAAATTTGTTGACTCTATGATATATTATCATATGAACACTTCATCATTTCAAAAAGTTTATACTCTTAACTTAATCTGTTTTGTAATGATTCAACTTTTACTATACATATAATGATATTTATGTGAATATATTAGGTTAACTTCATTCTTAACAGGATTACAATTGACCTTGATACATTAGAATTAAACAAGATTCTATTCAATGTGAGTAATAGCCTAAAAAGGAAAAGTAATGGTAATACATTGTTAATCGAATTTTCAGTCTTTTAGGGTATGCTTATTCCATACACGTATAGTATCTCTGAATTCACTGACAAGCTGAATACTTAAATATCAATTGGTAAATGCATATCATATTGATACTAAATACTATTGGACGTTACAAAATATCATAGTTTCGGTTTTTTCTTTGAATTCTCACCAAAAATTTTTAACCAGAGATCTGGAAAACTTTACTACCAGTACAACAAATAATATGAAGTGACAGAACTATAAAAATAATACTTTATCATACTGTGTGCAGTATTTATCAAGTAAACAAATTTAATATGAAGTAGTATTCATCATGGACTGACTGACATCAGTTGGGGAACCATTGAAAATCTGGGAGCACTGGACAGTCGGCTGTTTCGTCCAACTAGTGTGGGACTCCTGAGCAGTACGCACCCACGACCCGGCTAGGGGTGGAACTCAAGATCTTCAGGTTTCACGGCGAACGGGTTAACCATTCAGCTACTGGGTCGGTTTCCAGTGGTCCCTTGCTCCCAGATTTTCAATGGTTCCCCAACTGATGTCAGTCAGTCCATGATGAATACTACTTCATATTAGATTTGTTTACTTGATAAATACTGCACACAGTGTGATAAAGTATTATTTTTATAGTCCATCACTTCATATTATTTATTTGTACTGGTAGTAAAGTTTTCCAGATCTCTGGTTACGGTGTTGCATCGTTCCTATTACTTGTGTTGGCTGTTCGCTGATTCGATAAACAAAGATTCAGTAATCTCTCTCTCAATCTGCACCTAATTTATATTCGACTGTAGTACAGTGGTTTTATCCCATCCATTCTATAGTGTGGTTGTGTGTTAATGCGCTCATTGCAATAACCACATTTCCTTCGAGATTATTGATCTTATTCGGGTCTGTCATTCTACATTTAGCTAAATTCCTATGTTCGGCTATTCTAACTAACCCGACCACCTAGTTCGACGTATGCACTTAATCTAACTTGGAGTCATTACATAGAATTTGATAGATTAGATTATTTTACTTAATTGGTTCTATCGGATCCTTAAGCCAGTGGACAAACTTTATCTCTGAGTTTATAGATTTAAATGTCATTCTAATTCCAGGTTTGTTGAGGATCATACGTAAAGTTTCTGATATACCTTCCTTATAAGGGATAACTACAAGTGAACATAAATCCTCCAACAAAAATGGAAGTCCTGAACGCCATAAAGCTACTGAAATGCGGGAAAGCAGCAGGACCAGATAGGTTCCCGCCAGAAGCACTAAGAACAGACACAGAGACAACAGCGGACATGCTCACACCACACCACTGTTGCAGAAGGTGTGGAAGGAAGAAAAGGTACCTGGCGATTGGAAGAAGGGTTACCTTGTCAAACTCCCGAAGAAGGGAGACCTCAGTGTTTGCAAGAACTGGTGCGGAATCACTCTCCTATCCACCCAAAGCAAGCAAAACATTAAGCCGCATCATCCTGGAGAGGCTAAAGGATGCACTGGATTCAAAACTGCGACCGGAACAGGCAGGCTTCAGGAAGTACAAATCATGTGCACACCAAATTGCAACTCTTTGCATCATCATAGAACAGAGTATAGAATGGCAGTCAACTCAACTCAACCTCAGCTTGATTGACTTTGAGAAGGATTTTGACAGCGTCGACCGAGAGGTAATTTGGAAACTGCTTCATTACTACGGAGTACCGCAAACCTTTATCAGCCTCATTCAACAACTATATGAAGATGCCACATGCCAAGCAATTCACAATGGGAAGCTCAGTGATGCTTTTGAAGTGAAGTGAAGTGAAGACAGGAGTGAAACAAGGTTGCTTACTATCCCCCATGATATTCGTGATTGTGGTGGACTGGATCATGCAGCAGACAACAGTGAGGAGCGAGAAGAGGGGGATACGCTGCTTGACCACGGAAAAGAACCTAGAAGATCTGGATTTCGCCAGTGATGACTTATGTCTGATGTCACATAAACTTGAATATCTACAGTCGAAAACTAACAAGTTGGCGGAAGAGGCAGGGCAGCGAAGACGGGACTTCAGATGAATATAGAGAAGACAGAGGTGATGAAGATACCGCACCAACAACTCCAACAACAACAACAAACTCCAATCACCATCAACGGGAGAAACTTAAAGGAAGTAACCTCCTTCACCTATCTAGGTAGCACTGTTTCAACTACAGGTGGCGGGACAGACGAGGATGTCAAAGTCAGAATCGGAAAATCAGGACAGTCTTTCATTAACGTGAAACCAGTGTGGAGATCTTCTGCACTCAGCATGTGGAACAAGATCCGGATTTTCAACACCAACATCAGTCAAGTCAGTGCTTCTGTATGGTTCAGAGACTTGGCACGTTACGAAGGGGATTTCCAACAAACTACAGACATTCCTCAACAACTGCTTATGCTGGCTCGCTACTGAAGATCATATGGATTGCCAGACAGAATAAGCAACAAGGAGCTCTGGGAACGAACAAACCAAGAACCTATCACCCAAATATGCAGTGGAAGGAAGTGGAGATGGATTGGGCATACACTGAGAAGGCCGACTGAGGACATCACGCGTTAGGCCAGTTGCTCGAGTGGAATCCCCATGGGAAGCGACGAGTTAAACATCCGAGTGTGACATGGAGGAGATCGTGCGAAGAGGAAATGAGAGGTTGTGGGCTGTCGTGGAGCCAGGTTGAAAAGATTTCACAGAACAGAGTGAAATGGAGACATGCTACTGAAGCCCTATGTTCCATTAGGAACCCAAGGGACTAATAATAAAATAAATAGGGGGTAACACGATAGAGGCTGTGAACTCTTTTCTACTCGTGTTACAGTTTTTTCTTCGTTACTTTTGTGTTTATACGAATTTCTTAATAAATTACAGAGGATAATTATTAAGTATTAGTGATTCTTTTACGTGCTTCAGTTCCTTGTTTAGGTCGTTGCACTGACTAGTCAGTTTTCTAGCTGTATCATTTTAGACATTTGACTAAATCTGCCTTAACTGACTGACTAACATTGGATGAGATCCTTGTTGGAATGTGTCTGTTTCCTGTAGACAAGTAGTATCCAAACTACTGTCAGTCGTTCGTTTTATCCTGTAATCCCCAACATTGGTAATTCTCCTTGTTAATTTTCTACCTCCATGTAAGTGAATTGCATGGCATCCTGTTACTGAGTTTATATGTGTGAGGAAATTTTGATATGTTCAGATTTTAACACACCAGTGAGTGTGTCATCCACATATCGTCAGCATATCTTAGATGCAGGATTAAACGTTTGTAACATCATGTCGATAGTTCTGTGTATGATTACACATTGATATGATTATGAACAATAGAGAATTTATGCTCGAAACATTGTCATCAAGTAAATAGGTAATACTAGATCTCACTCACTGTGTGTTATAAATCAAATCTAATATGAAATCAAGGGATAAAAGATTAAATAAAATCTTTTTCTTGGTAATAGTAACAATAATAAATGTCTATAACATTGTGTTCATTGTATTCAATTAGCCTTCTTTCTTCCCCTTTTTTTTTAAAGGTCATTTATTCGTACTGGAGGGGAAGATTTCCTATTGGATCACGATCCACCACCTTTTCCTCAAATTGAAGCTAATATCGAAGTAAGGAAGATGATAAATAGTTTGTTAACGTTTTAAAAATCTTTTCCTTTTTTTTTCAAATAATTGGCGTATTTACGTAATACATTTTGAATAATCTGATCATTTACTTGTCTGAAAGATAGAAGTACAAATCGAACAAATGAGATAATAAGGAACATCAGGATAGTTACTCAATGAAGACATAGGATGGAGGTTGGGCCATTGAATTCCGACTTAATGGCTCAAGGTTAATGTGGTGGCCACGGAACCTGAAGGTGGCGGGTTCGATCCGTGGAGAATGGGGTCGAGAGTGCGCACCGGTGAGGAGTCCCATACTAGTTGGACACGAACCCGACCTGAATTGAATAACGCCCCATAAACCTCAAAACCGAACTAATCTTGTGGTTATTAGTGACTAAGTTTGAGAGGGGATTCCCGAAGTTTTAATGAGAAGTCGTGACCAGTGTGGCAAACCTGGTGACCGTGAGGACAAGTACTCAACAATGACATTGGGTGGCGGTAGCGCTATATCGTGAAATGACAGAAGTTGGAAATATGGACGATTGGATTCTGACCCAGTGGCTCAATGATAATGTGGTGGCCACGAAACCTGAAAGTCGCGGGTTCGATCCGTGGAGGGCGCAGTCGAGAGAGCACATTATTGAAGAGTCCCATGCTAGTTGGACGAAACAACTGTCCCTTGCTCTCAGATTTCCAATATTTCTCTAACTGATACCAGTCCATCATGAATACCCGAGGTGGCCAGACTAAAACATGGTTTGAGCCATGTGGGACGATGCAGGCTATCCCGGTTGGAGTTCATGGGACAAGAGGAACCAGTGGTTGGAGATTCTAGGTGATCACATGGCTGAGAACCGATGTCTATGGAGCAGATGTATACATATATTATCCTCACCTTAACGACGCTATACCGAATCTCATCACTTTCTCATTATTCGTTTCTCTCTTTTCATACTTTATATTTCTTTTGACTGCATTGTCTTATCTTCATCTTTCGCCTCACTGCTTTTTTACCTGATATACTGATATGACTTTTGGCAACTCGAACCGTTACGCAGTAATACCTAGTCCTTGGTTGATCTAGATGGATGGATGGATGGATGGATGAATACCAATTTGAAAACAATGTTTACCAAGAGATAAGTGTAGTGTGTTAGAACAAATTGTCTTTGTATACATAAATGATGGTTTCAATCTGCATCTCTGACTGTTTCTATTATCAAACTTTGAAAGCTGTTTGAACATTAATTTTAGGAGATGATCCTATTCACTTATAGCCAAACATATTAGAGATACAAGTTACAAAATTAATGTTCAAATAACTTTCAAAGTGTGATATAGAAACAATCAAAGAAGCATATTGAGATTTCCAGAAGCATTAACTATACACAAATTGAAAAAAAATACACTACACCTACCCCTTGATAAAGTTTCTTTTCTTATCAAGATTACAATCAACTATATTACTTCATTTTTCTTCTTATATTCCTCAATATTAATCCCCTTATTATTATTATTATTATCCTAATTGGTCTATTTATCCTCCCATCCTTCAGACAAGTAAATATGTGATCAGATTGTTCGAAATGTATTTCGAAAATGCATATCATATATTCTTCAGTTGAACTTCGTCTATATAAATTTTTATTTTTGGTTAACGTGTTTAGTGAATGAAATATATATATATATATATATATATATATATATATATATATATATATATATATACAGTATTTCAGTCTTCTAGTATCTCTGTTCACTAATTCAACATTCAACTTTTGTATAAGATTCATTCAACACCTATTCTTGATGCTTAGAAATTTTTTCACCTTTGAGACTTATTTGTGTTAGTACTGGGTGATGATTGAAGGTGAGATGAAAATCTGGACTATGGCCGGATTCGAACCAGCAACTATCGAGTTAGTTTTAGAAATGTGTTAGTCACTGCTGATTCTTAGGTGACTAAATTGTGGAAATTGATCTCATGTTGACTTGTGTAGAAGAGGAAGTGAGTTAAATTTACGTAATTATTAAGCTTGAGGCGTCTAATGCTTATAGAGCCTAAACTATGGACATTATATTTGTCAGATTGGTTCTTCTGTAGTTATCATAAGAGGATCTCTCGTCTTCTTTGAAGACTAGGATAATCAAGGATTGTGATCAGTGAAAGGGGATCATATTCGACTCCCATACACTAGTTAACACTTCATTTGACTAAAAACACTTTATCATCGTCCACATAAACCTCCGTCTGCCGTGTTGCTCTTCGTCGTTTCAAGTTATCAACTGCTTTCTCAACTTCTGCAAGTATTGGGGGATCTATCTCAATGTTCCATTCAGGATCCGACTTAATAGTCGTCAAGGCAATCGTAGCTGGAGGCTAGTTGTACTGTTCCTCGAAGTGTTATGCCCAACGTTACAGTCGTCTCTCCTGTGAGTGAATCGCAAACCCGTCCTTCTCCGTTATAGTCTCACTAGCCATTGACCTTTTCGCTCTAGTTTCCTGGTTTGAGGGGTTTTTAGTTTAAGCTAAATCACAAATGGTCTATTCACATGGTTACATCTACTCCCTAAGAACCATCGGCAACGCGAAGCGATATCATGAGACAGAATATACACCTACATCTGATCTTTCCTAAACCCTCCCTTTTGAAATAACGATCTCTCAAATACAATAACCAAGTGTCATTAAGCATCTACATTCAGCCAAAGTTGTATAACAGTTTAAATCTCATAGTCCTCGAGATCATAGGAGGAAATGGTCGGAGTATTTTCGTGACATGGCTGAAAATCGGTCACAATGGCTCAGATGTACTCACTCCTTGATTATTTACACTTACCTTTATCTTCAAGTTGCTTATTCTGTTACATAACTTTGTCTACTTTGAAATCACTCCTTTTCTGTTTTTTGTTTACTATTATGAAGTGTGGCAGATTGAGTCGATGCATCTGTGCGCAAGGTTGTACGTTGATTTTGTGGCAGTCTGTCTGTTAAGGTAGAGATAGTTTGACGAGTGACTTTAAAGACCACCCTAGCAACAACTAAAATAACCAGTTAGACTTCTCTATTTTATGGAAACTTGCCTTTCTAGCCCAAAACGGAGAAACCTAATTGGTTATTTTGATCGTTATTACGGTGGCTTTTAAAACCGTTCCAGTTTGATTGTGTTAGGCAAAAATCTTATACTTGTGTGATTGACTGATAAATCGTGTTTTGAATGTCATAGATTAGGAAACTATACAAACATACAGCTGAACGGAACTATATTGTCCCTAATCTATCTTGTCATCTTTATCTTACTCATAACTTGGGGAGAAAATATTGATAACTATTTTGTTGTAACAAACGATACATAGGAATATGAAGTAATCAACTTCTACTTCCATGACATCTACTCATTTATGTATAGTCGTATTTTTGATTCGATCAAATGATTTCATTGGTTGAATTCCAACTATTTTAAATAGTTGTGACTTTGGAGAGTGCTTTCACTGATACGAAGTGATGATTTCAAGAGAAATAAAAACCCAATTTACTGTAGAATTCAAACTAGTGATCTATGTATACTACTTCAGTAGTGTACCAAGTGATTAGATTCTAACTACACCTTCGTTAACTGAAGTGTATTGAACTTGTTATCATAGAATATGTAACCGGTTCATGATCTATTACCGTAACTTCTCTATTTTGAATAAAAGAATGACGAAACTACTCTTATTTATGTTTGAACGTTTATTGAAGGCTTTCAACGATTCGAAACAGTTTGCTAATAGGCACATTAGAAGTACTTTGGATTCTGCTAATACTGTGCATCATGGTATTGTTTCTAGCCTAGATAAAGACGCTAAGTATGTTCTCTATGTCTTCTTTTGTTTCTAATTGTAATCCACTCTTATTAAATAAGCCTACCATTGCTCATATTGAGTGGCTGTATTTTTGTTTTTCTCAAAGGAAACAATATTCTCTTTACAAGCCCTTATCTTTTGGTATTTGCGTGAATCATTGAAGAATAAAGTTCTAACCTCTCCGGCCAATCTGGTGAATCCGCAGAATTCACCCTTCGAGTTTCTGCAGAATCGATAGCTAGCTGTCGCAGTCTTGCAGGTGTTGGCATAGCATTAAGCGCTAAGGCAGGAAACTCACTACTAGACTGGATCCCAGTTGATAGTCGCCTCTGCACTATATGGTACAGTGAGAACTAGAAAAAAATGTGAGACTCGCCGTTGTCTCTTTGTAATTTCTGCTTACTCACCCACTGTTTGTAGTTCGGATGAATGAAGGACGAGTTCTACCAAAACGGCCTAGCCTCCTCTCGAAAGCCAAACGTTCAGACGTGGTGGTTGTTGCAGGTGACTTCAATCCAAAGGTGGGTAGACTGAGTGAGGTAGAAAGGCACTTAGGTGGCACTTTCGAATCCCGGGTGAACGTACAGATAACAGTGATCGCCTACTACAGCTATGCTCAGATAACCGCCTATTTTTAGCTGGGACAAATTAAATACATAAAAAAAGACACTGTCCGACATGGCGTCCGCCGAACTCAACTCAGCGATGGACACAGATAGACCACATTGCTATTAGACTGCCGCTCCTTCTAGAGTATGTGTTTGGATAGCGACCATGCGTTGGTCCGAGTGCGTATATGTCCGCGTCTCAATGGACCTAAGAAAAATTTGGCAACAAAACCACTAAAAGTGTTGCTGGACAACGAAAATACCAAAGCCGTATTCAGTGAAAACTTGGCTAGGCAGTTATCGGAACAGTCTGCTGTGAAACCAGACTCCGAAATAATAGCTAGAAAGAGCCAGTGGATATCAGCAGCTTCTTCCCAACTAATGGATGCATGTGAACGCATCCCTGCAGGCTCTGAATACAATGAAGAGCGAGCGCAACTTAAAAGTAGATTGAGAAAAAGTCTACGCAACGATCGCAACAGTGGTGGGCAGCGAGGGTAAAGAGATGGAAAAGGCAGCAGCCATTGGTAACAGTAGACAGTTATT